GGGCAGTAGAGAGAATTTCCTTCTTTATGTGTGTGTGCCCATCCTTATCATTAAAGGACTGCTGAGAAGTAATGAAATATCCCCAAGGACCCCCCGCCCCCTCCCCCACCACTTAGCATCACATCAGCTTTCTGAGGGCATCTCCACTGCAGTTACCAGTGATTGGGGTGGGAGATCCTGAGCACTCCTCAGGATCTATTTTATTGCCTCCTGCTGCAGCACAGAGATTGGATTTCTTACAGCATGAGCTTGCCTTGTTAAATAAGCTGTCTTTGTTTCTGTTCATGTCTTAGCTCGGGCAGTCCATCGCCTATTGGAAAACCGTCACCATGGTGTCCCCTGGCCATCCACAGTCTACCCTATTACACAGCTGACCAATTCCATCATCAAGAGGGTAAATGAGGCCTCAGGCCTCTACCAGATGTTCAGTGTCCTGGCTGACATCATACTGCTGAGAGAGTGAGTGAGTGAGTAATTATTCCCAGCACTGCGCTCCATAATTTCATTTCTGTTTCTTTACCACTGCCTCCCATGTTGCCCCCACACCAGCTGTGCTCTTCCTGCCTAAGGATGTTACCATTGCATAGGCAGCCACCCTAAACCTGTACTACTGCTCCAACTGGTGCCCAACTGTGCACTCTGTTTCTCCCTCTTAAAGGGCTGAAATGGTCCAGACCTTCCCTCTAGGCTCAGAGGTGTAGTACTCTTTTACTGACCCCAGGAAAAAACTTTGTTAAGCAGTGCTACTGTAGAGAGACTCCCATAATCTAGGAAAATAATGGTGTCTTGTAACAGTATCTGCAGCCTTTATAAGCTCTGCATCAAGTCCAGCTCAGATTTGTAATGACCAAAGAAAATTACTATCTGATGACTTTTTGGCTTTAGCCTTGACCAGCTGGGAGTGGGTTGGATCCCAGCTGGCTTTCTCTGGTGGAAAATTCCTATGGTGTTTCAATTCACAGGAATGCCACAGAATTTGAATACCTGGAAGAGTACCCTATTGGAGTCCTGGCCGAGCTCGAAATGCAGACGGGAAGAAAGGCTCGCAATGGGCTCTTTGTCATCATTATGGAGTATGGAAGGAATTTCTCTGGGGCTGACAAGGATGTCTTCTACTACAACCGTGCTGTGGGAGAGGCGCAGCATGCCTGGCAGTCCAACTTTTTACATCCTGTTATTTACTATTACAAACACCTCCCAACAGGTAAGCTTTCCTGCTAATTGTGTGACACAACCAAAACAAAGAGGGATAAAGATAAATCAGAGCCAGAGTGGGGGTGGTACCTGAAAGCACTATTCACCCTTCCTGTGAGACACCTCCCACCACTGGATGAGCTGAAAAGGAAGATGAGAGTTGGCAAGAAAGTTCCATCCATAAGACCGATATAGGGACTGGAGGGTTGTACCAGAGACCTCACATTTGAAAATAGGAACAAACAGGCATACTGGAAATTTCCCCATGCCCAAAAAGAGGAACAGTTCTTCCCTTTGGCTGGCACCCTATGTGAATTTTGCAGAACCTGACAGATGAGGGTGTTGTTGTTTGGCCATCTTGCTGCGAAGAAAAAGCTGCTCTCTGGCAGGCCCAAGTCTGAGAGGTCACACAGACAAAGAGGCAGCCAAAGGCAAGGATTTGAAGAGGAGTGTTCTATCCAGCAGCAAGCAGGCTTAGGGCAGACTTCCTTGGGAAATGAGAGTGTTGAAATCTTCATCTCCAGAAACCCAGGGTTAGGGTCCAGCTTGCCTTCTCGGAAATCAGCATGATGGGTAGCAGCATTAAACACAACGTAGCCCATCTGGCAGTCCCTGCCTAGGGGGAACAGGAGTGAAATGACAGGAATGCTACAGACAGGGACAGAGGGCAGCTGTGTGGTGGCAGGGCTGTTGAGGACAGAGCTAGCAGAGGGGATTGCAAATGAAAGTAACGGATTAAAAGGTCAGGACAAAAGCGGAAACAGCTGTCACAGCTGCTTTCCATTCCCCAAGCTCTTTTTAATGCCATTTTGCTTCTAAGAGACTCCCTTAGTGTTCTCTTGGCAGAGCGTGAGATGAGACTCCGTCCCCCGGACTGGCCTCTGCCCCGGCCAAATGCCATCCATCACGTTGTGGAGGACTTCCTGACAGACTGGACAGCCCCGAATGCTCACATCCTGCCACTGAGGCGGTTTTTGGAGAACTGCCTCGGCACCGACCTGCGCAATTTCTTTGCAGGTAATTTGTGCACAGGGTCGAAGTGGCAGGAAGAGGAGGAGCAATGTGAGGAACAAGGGACAGAAGTGATCTCATATGCAAAATAGCTGAGATCTCCCTGTGTGTCTCACCATCAGTCACACCTCCTCAAGGCACTCACCAGATGGTACAAAGTGCTGTTCTGTGTGTATGTTCCCAAAGAGTCCTTGCTCTTGTCACCATTAGAAGAAGACTGGCCCAGGCATGCCAGGACTTAGAGAAAGGCATATAAGGTCGAGTTCAATCCATTTTTTTAGCTGCAGCTTTCCTTTCTTCTTCATTATCTGAACATGTCTTTGTGCCATTGTGTACTAGATCTCATGTACTGGTGATTGGATTGCTTTCCCATGGGAAATGGGAGTGCTGTGATGTGAGAGGTGAAGAGCCTCTGCTGCCTCCCTTCCTGGTCTTAACACTGGTGTGGGACCCTCCTGCAGAAAGCCCATGTGGCACACAGAGGGAAGCCATCTTGTAGCACAAAGAATATGCCAGATGGATGCAAGCTCAAATCCTGCTCCTTTTTCTCTCAGTGTGCAGACTGGGGATCCCTCTCTGCATCTCCTGAGCTCTGCAGAAGTACATCAATTACTGTGCTGCCACCCAGGGAAGGGGAGTGGGTGGGAAACTCCAGCCATCTTCCCTCATCCTTTCTGCCTTTTGTTTTGAACAAGTCCCCGATAGTTTATGGGAGTATTTCCCTACGGGGTATCTCTGCTGACTCTTAACTTTTGATCCTTTCCCCTGCAGAGTCCTGTTTCCTGTTTGCCTTCACCCATCAGAAGCTGCCTCCCTCCTGCCAGCAGGGGTACGTTCGAATGCAGGGGCTGCTGGGGAGCCAGGAGCTCCGGCAGCATGCGGTACAGGCTGGGCTGCTCCAGGATTACACTCACACAGACTTCTCGGGTGACAGACCCCCTGACAGCCACCATGGGTCACAGGAGCACTTGAGGAGAGATCATGGGATACCACTTCGTCCTCTGCAGCATCTTGTTAATGCCAAGGATGAGCTTTAACCTTTCTTGCTCCACACTGAAATCCATAGGTGCTCTCGTGACAGTACTGTAACAGAGATCCACAGCAGGATTCTGCCCTTTCCAGCATCCCTTTTCCATCCCCATGCCTCCCACTGATCGTGAGTTGCCAAAGACCTGCTCAGATCTTGCTGTTACAAAGAGGACCAACATCCTCTGAAGGACTGAGGGACCAAAACCCAGCGATGCTGAGGTTCCCATGTTGTCCTTGCAGAGTTCAGAGTTGCCTGAAGACAGTGTTGGTGTTTATCTCACTGACCAGTATCTGCAGTGATGTACAGAGGCCACAGAAGTGAGCACAGGAATGCCTGGGAAACTTCACATGTCATGTCCCCCTCAGAGATGGCCTGCTCACAGCCTGTGGCTCTCTGGTCCCTGGATGCCCTACGCTGTGTATACTTGAAGATTTTTTTCTGCATTGAATCCTGAAGTGGTACTCCAGGCAAACTTCCTGGTATTTTTCCTGCATTTGAGTTAGGGCAGTTGTGTAGCTTGAGTGGGGAAAGATTATTTTCTTTTAGTTGCTGTATAGGTCAGATAATTTATAATTTCTAGAGAACACTACAAGGGACTCTTTCCTCCACAACAGATGAGTACCTTGCTTGGAATGCCTGGGACACAGAGACTTACAGAGTTTGGGTCTGCTGTCCTCATGTTTTTTTTCTCCCACACCAAGCAGCCTAGAAGGTTAGCCCGTCTTTTATAAAGCATGAACAATATTTCTCCTATTTGCACTATGTCCCATCAAGAAAGTTTGATGTTGTTAAAATGCTCTTTCTCTGTTTTATTCCCCTCCAGTCACCTTGAGATTTTAGAGGGACTGACAGGGAGGTTGTCTGCACTTTACTGCTCCCCTTGTCAGCCACATATGCTTGCCTATCACCTCCCTTTGGACTCCTTCCATGGGCCTGGAATTGCAAAGCAAGAGCAGTTTTGAGCTTGACCTCATGATGTCCCTGTGATTTCTAGGAAATAGAGGAGGGATGAAGGGAACAGGCTTTTATCTCCACACGTTTTCCAACTTTTTAGCTTCTTGAAAAATGCACACTATTGCTTCCAAACTGAGGAGGGCTGTACCTTACATGTACCTAAAGCTCTCCCAATCCTATGAATTCAGCTGCTGTTTCCCTAAAACCTTAGTTCCTTGGAAAGGCAGGGAAGCAGAAGAGGTCAAGGAAGTAACAGGGGAGTTCTTGCTCTCTTTGAGAATGCTGGGCTCTGCAAGCAATGCTGCTGCTGGAAGACAGTGCCTGTTCACATGCAGCTGGAGAGGGTGGCGTGGGCCCGCTGGTCTGTGGTCACCCCTGAGTGTAGGGATCCAGGTTGGTCCCGGTGCCCTTCCCGTGCGGCGCGTTGTGGAACGGAGTTAATTGCTGTTGGGGGGAATGTAGAGCTGTGCACTGCCAGGAAAGCTAAAAGCAGGTGACGCTCGCAGCCCCTTGCCTAGCCTCAAGCTGAAGAGAGCCGCCCGACGGAGGGACCGGCCGTGGCACCGGGACCGGGATCGCACCACGGCTCGTGCTGCGCTAGCCGCGCCCATTGCGCTAGCTCCGCCGCCAATCAGCACCGAGGGTCCGCCCTACGTGACACATCCCACCGTCCCTCCAGGGGCGGGGCGAAGCGGCCTAAAGGACAGGCACGGCAGCCAGTAAGAGTTCCCGGCTCTCCGGGCGACTGCCAATGGGCTGTGAGGGCGGCCGGCCTGTCCGTAGAGTCTTCCGGCGGCGGCGGCCAATCGGCGCAGGCGGGCGGGAGTTCGGTGTGTGCGGATCAGCTCGCTGTGTCCGGTCACCTCCGCGCCGCGAAGGTGCGGGCGGGCCGCGGGCCCGGCGGCTGCAGCGGGGCCCTCCCGGTCCTGCCCTCCCGCCCTCGGGCTCGGAGAGCAACGGGGCACCGGCCTCTGGGGCTGTTCTCCCCCACAGGGTTGGGGCCCTGTGCCACCTGTTGGACATGGGCTGACGGAGCCCCGCGGTGTCGGAGCAGGCCTGGCTCTGCCCTGTGGGTGGGGGGGGGGGGGGGCTGCCGTGGGGGCAGCAATGCTCCGCAGGGCTGAGCGAAACGGGGAGGCTGTGCCTGAGCTGTCTCCCTGTGAACGGGGAGGAGGCGGGCTCCAGCTGGCAGCCCCGTGCCCGTTGGGCTGGAGCCTCAGAGCGGGGCAGGGCTGGGCAGGGGGCCGGAAGCAATCCCGTCATACCCCATAAGCTTCTCTCCTGGCGTGGGGCTGTCCTGCCGCGGGGGCTGGGATCAGGGCGCTGCTGCAGTGGGACCAGCCGTGGGGTACATCCGCCCCAGCAACCACTCTCCCCACAGATGGCCCAGAGACTGGCGCTCCAGCGGCTGCTGGCGCTCCCCACGCGGGGGCCCCTGGCATCCCACGGCAGGGCCTTTGGCACCTCAGCCGGCCGCAGGAGCACTTTCAACGTGCAGGATGGCAGCGACTTCCAGGACCGGGTGGTGAACAGCCCCAAGCCCGTTGTGGTGGACTTCCATGCACAGTAAGTTCCACTCGTGGCTCTTGCACCCCTCTCCTCCACCACCCGTGCAGGTGTGTTCCTGTGACTTTCCTGATGTGGTGGCACTCCGGGCTCACCATGGAAGAGCATGCCTGAGGGCTTCCCAAGCTGTGGAGTCCAGTGTTGAAAGATGCTTCTGCTCGTCAGGCTCAATCCATGAAGATTCCCCTCACAGCTACAGCCTGCAGCAGTGTCAAACAGGAGTGCCAGGAAGGCATTCCCCAGGGTGGTACAGCTGCACCTTCCAGGTGCTCAGGTGTCACCCCAGCCCCAGTGTTGCATCATCCTACAAAAGATGCCTCAGGAAAAAGCTCTGATATCTGCCCTATTTGGCTTCAGGGATGCAACGTACTCAGAGAGCTCTGCACTTGCTATGCCTCACCATTGTTATGGTGTATCATTCCATGTTTCTTAAAGCTGCATGGTTTTGAGGCTCTTTATAGCAAATGTTTTTATGTGTTAATAACAGCCATGTGACACCAATGACAGCATTTGTCATCAATAAAAATGCTGTGATCCACCTGCCAGTAAAAATATTCCTAGATGGTATCTGCTCTATTAACAATTATCTTAACTGATTAAGATAATTAACAATATTAACTGATTATCTTTGAGTTTTTCACGTATTTTCATAGTCCTCCAGTCCACCTCACTGTTACGTGAGCCTGTTACAGCTGATTTGGTGCAAAGAGAACACAAAACAGCCAAAAAACTTCTGCTCTAAATAAACCAACAGAAAACCACAGTGAGCACCAGCTGGTATCATCCAGGGAGGAGAGGACAATTAATTGAAGCCTGAAGCTGGATGCAGAGCTTCCTTAACCTTAGACAGCTCCTTTGTGAGAGAAGTGTTTTTCTAAGCCTTGGTTCAGGAATTGTATTTCCAGGCTGGCTCTTGAGTGAAACAGCAGTGGTGGTAAAGGCACTGGTGTTCCAGCATGCCTTCCATGGCTGCACCTGCCTCTCCTAATGTGCCCTCCCTTTTCCTGCTCCATCAGGTGGTGTGGTCCCTGCAAGATCCTCGGCCCCAGGTTAGAGAAGCTGGTGGCCAAGCAGGAGGGGAAGGTGCTGATGGCCAAGGTGGACATTGATGATCACACAGACCTCGCCATCGAGTACGAGGTAGGAGGTGGAAGAGCACGGACTTTGTTTGGCTGGCAGTGCAGAGATGCCTCCCTATGGAGAACTGTGCCTGCACAGCAGTAGCACTGGAGGGGAGGGGAAGCCCAGAGCCTAGAGGTTCCTGATCCATTGGGTCACTTGTCAGTAGGTGGATTTTGCTGCTTGGCTCTGCTCCAGCTCTGCTTGTTGTGCCCAGCATCCCCACCTCTGATTCTGCAGGGAGGGCTCTCTAGGCCTTGCATGTGTCTGTGAGTGTAAACACTTCCCTGGCCTCGAGGAGCCTGGAGTACACATGGCATTTTGCTGCCAGCTGGAGTGCTCAGGTGCAGGGCAAGATCGTGAAGTTACAAACCCCACTCTGCCATGCTACTGAACATGGTTCTTTATGCAGCCAGCCTGTCCTGTCTTTCCCTTCCTTGTTCAGGATCTCGAGCTGGGTCATAAAGTCCCCATCCTTAAGCTGCAGCACAAGGAGACACAGTGAGTTTTGTTTGGACAGGTAGAAGCCAGGTCAGAAAAAATAACAGGAGCACATGTCCCGCTCTTGAAAGGGGAGGACCTTGGTGCTTACACTAGTGTGTGACGTTACTGCTGGGTGTGTTTCCTGTGCTGCCTTTCTCCCAGGAAGAAACAGAATGACTGGAGAAGGCCATGGCTTTAGTTTACATGATTCATTTATTTGTCCCCTCTGACAGTAGTTAGGTAGTTTAAGAAATACAAAAGCCCCTCTGAGGGCCGTGCTTGCCTCTGTTGTCTCTCCTTGCAAACAACCACTCTGCCCATGGAGTTTGGGCATCCTGCTGTTATGTTTTACAGGGGAAAAACATGCCTCATTTTCACTTGGGTATCATGCAGATGGATCTGCTCCCCCTCTGCAGATGAAGTCCTGCTCCCAGGGTGACAACTAGCACAGCAAGCTCCTCAAGCTGCCCTGAAAAGTGTGAACAATCTCCTGAGCAAGCTGTCAATTTATTGAGCCTGGAGAAGATGCCATTCCTGCACCCTGCTGAGCCAGAAGGAGACGGAAGTGGGAGCAGCTTGTTCGCTCCCACTCTTTCCCCAGGGAGACCTTTCTGCCTGTGCTGTGGTGGAGTGCCCACACAGCTGGTGGCCACAGTCATGATTTGCAGTTCCCACAAGCTCAGCATGAGAGCCTCCGGTGCTCTCCAGGGTGGAGGCGTGCTGGCAGATACACCCCAGGCCAAGGAAGATGGCTGCTGGCTCCTGAGTAGGGCTGGCTGCTGCAAGCCCAAAACACTGCATAGCTCAGAGGGTGCTGGTGAGAAGTTGAAGAGGATGAGGTGTTTTTAGTGATGATCTGGAAGTGTGTAAATCCTAATAGATGCAGGGAAAGCTCTGGTAGCAACCATGCTAAGGAGAAGAGAATAGAGATTATTAGCTCAACTCATGTGTTGTTCCAAACCTTCCAGTAGATAGAATGAGCTGAGATTACAAGAGGATAATCTCAAGTGAGTGGAAAACGACAAGCAGGGTGTGTGCATGCAGAGAAAGGTCGGTGAAAAGAGGCTGAAAGTCCCAAGTTGTGTAGCTTTGATAATGTGCTGGATGTCCTCTCCCCACGGGTGCTGAGGGAGCACTGCCTGCTGTGTGTGTTTGTGTGCAGGTAGGACTGAGGCTGCAGGAAAGGGTCAGTTTCTAGCAGTTCATTCAGGAATCTTATTTACAAACATGGTGAAGTTTTTGTTTTGCAAGAAGCCCTCCTCCACTTTTGGAGTGATGCATGTGTGTCTTGTCTTGGCCATTATCCCCATGGCTAAAACACTGTCCTTAGACTGTCTGCACATACCATAGCTGCAAACAGGTAGGGGGATGGGAGAATTTTGTGCTCAGATCTTCAAAGTTTGGAGCATCCTTTCTGAGGCAGAAGTTTTGTTCATGGTGCTGAGCATGTGCTTGGTTTTGCTTCATTTTCTGGGAAGTTACCATGTAAGGAGAAATGTAAGGGCTGATGAGAAGGCGCCAAGTTGAGATCAAAGAGGGACCAGAGTGTTTGTGAGAGATCAGGAAAACCACAGGTGGTGTTTAGAGGGAATCAGAAAACATTTGTTTTAAAGTCATTCTTTAGGGAATCAGATGTCTGCACGCTGAGGAAGTCTTTGTTTGGGGGTTTTTAGTGTCCATGCCACCCCCACAACTCCTCCACTAGCTGCCAGGAAGTCTCACTCCATCCGTGTTTATTCCCTTGCCCACGCACACACGCACCCCAGCTTGCTGCCTGCTTGCACAATGTCCTCTTCAGCAGCCTCCTTGGTGCAGAGGGAGGCAGTGGGAAGGGGAGGCCCCCTGGAAGAGCTGAGGAATGCTGGCACATTCCTTTATACAAGCCCTTGGCTCTTAGCCATCCCAGCTTAGCACAAAGCACGAATGCATTTCCTGCAACTAGGAATGTCCCCTGTGCCCTTCCCTGTCCGGTTATGCCCAGCACAAAAGTGTTTTCTCTGGGGACTCCCTGTTTTATCAAATACCTTTCATCTCTGGTTGTGGCCTTTCTCCACTGCTCCAGCCAGATCCTGACCTCTCGCCCCAAGAGCAGAAAGGGAGAAGAAATACTTTTGTTTATCTGCAGTCTCTTAAAATTCTTTAGATTCATCTCTTGCCCTAGCCAGTTGCCTCTGTGTGTGGTGACCAGGAAAGGGCAGCCCCTTCTGTGGCCACTGTGGGTGGGCAGCTCAGGAGAGCCACTGGGTACAGAGGTGGTCGTTCATCAGTGGAGCTCCATCCTGTTACCTCCTCACTCAGAGGCCTGGGTGAAATACTTCCCCATGCTCTGTTGTTTGGCATCTGAGCTTGTATAAAAGTTTCAGATGGGGGAGAATTCCCTTGGTATGGGTGTTGCCAGGAATAACCTGGATGGGCATGTTTGTTTGTTTATCTGTGGTCAACACTAATCAAAAGCAGACTGATTTTTCTATAGAAATGCTCTTCAGGGAGGAGTAAAGTTTGTTTAGGTTCAGTGCAGATGGGACCCAAAAAAAGAAAAAGTGCCCTCAACTTTGCATTCTAGAAATTCCCATGATATTTGCTTCTCAACCAGCAAAACAAAGTACATGCTCCATTAATAGGCTGCCCTTACTGCAGCTGGCAGGAAGGAAGCTGACAAAAACATCATGTTTTCTGAGCAGAGGAAAGTTGCTCTGTGCCCCCAGTTCTCATCTGGCTCTGCAGCACCAGCCCCAGACCTTCCACTCTTTCTTTGGATTTGCTCACCTGCACAGAGGGAGAGAGACAGAGGAATCAAGGCCATGTGAAACTCGTGGGTGCGCTGGTCAGCCTGTAGGGCCTGGCAACGTGGTGTTGGCTGCTTCTCAGGAGAGCTTCCAAGAGTTGCCTGTTCCTCACCCCAGCCCTAACAGGGGCCAGCTCTTGTTTTTTTGGATAGGACTGGAGCAACTCTGCTCGATATTAACCCACTGTGCAAACCAGAGGGAGGCTCATTGGAGGTTTGCCTTCTCAGGGACGGAGCAGCTGAGTGCAGTACATCTTTTCTCTCTCCCAAAATGACAAGGGAACGTATTTGCACCATCGGCAGTGCTGGGGCCCAAGCCCTCTGGATCTGCTCCCTGCAGTCACTAGGAGGAGCTGAAGATTGTGCATTGAGCAGCCCCGACGCTCCCATCCCTTCAGATGAGACTGCACAAACCCTGAAGGACACTGTGGGGAGCCACGCTGGACTGCCCGGCTGGGACCGGGTGGGAAGGGAAGACAAAATGTCCCTTTCATCTCAGGCTCCCACTGGGAGAAAAGCCAGCCCTCTGATGGGTTTCCAGAGGGATTTACAGATCTTTGTTGGCAGCAGGGCTGGCAGTGCACACGGGAAGGCCCTGCAGGCTGGAGAAGAGTCAGCGAGCAAGATAAGGACAGGATGTGTTTTGGGGGGAAAACTTTGCAGAGATAAGCTGTGGGGTCAGAAATGTGATCAGATCTTCCATTGCTGTAGCTCTCCAAGCTCTGGTTGTTCCTTCTTTCAGTCATGTCCCTGGGGTTTCTGCTGTCACCAGTCAACCAGCAAGTCCCTGGGGAATGTTGTCATTTCCAACACTGTTCTCTTGGATAATTCCCAGCAAACTTTGTTCTGAGCTAAAAAAGCAGCGCCCAGAGCAGCACAGCTGCCTGCTAGCTCTGGTCAGAGGGACTTTTTCACTTCTTACCTAATCATCAGGGATCTGCACTGAATGACCACTGGTTTGTGACCAGTTAAATAACTGAAAACAGAACTGGGGAAAGGAAGAAGGCTTGGAGGGGATTGTCATTGCCATAAAATGAGCAGGAAATCTGCCTGTGCAATGGTGGGGCGGGTTAGGGTTAGAGCTCCAGTCCTGTCTGGAGAAGAACACGGGTCAGTCTGATGCTGCCCTGGCCATAAAATGTCCAAAGGTCATTATGTCTGAGATGTGTCCTAGGTGTGTTCGTTTATGAGAGGACAAAAGGAAAGGAGGAGAAGAAGCTTTTGTACTGAAGACGGGTTTTGTATTAGTTGTGGTTTTGTCTTTAAACATTTGGGTCTTATTTAAACTCAAAAAGCAGCTCAGCCTTATCTCCAGTAGAGTGGTGTAAGTCAGTGCAGAGAGGGGGATACACGGAGCTCAGCTGGCCTGTTTTGCAAGTGGACATCTTACCCTAGAGCAGTGCATGCTCAGCTCCCTTGTAGCCACTTCCTTAGACTTCATTGGGAGACCAGGTGCAGGTGGCTTCCTGCAGTCTTTGCTCACCTGTCTCCCTGTTTCTCTTGCCCCAGGTGTCAGCAGTGCCAACTGTGCTGGCCATGAAGAACGGAGACGTTGTGGATAAATTTGTGGGCATAAAGGACGAGGATCAGCTGGAGGCATTCCTCAAGAAACTCATTGGAGCCTGAAGTAAAAGGGTGGCTGTACCTCTGCCTCTGGACACGTCCATGTTGTGCATTCCTTGCCTGGGAGAGCTGTGGGCAGGTCAATTGCCTGCCCTGTACAACCTGGGGGTTTCTTCTGTTTTGGTGTTTTTAGGAGATGGAAAATGTTGTAACCCTTCCCTCCTTCTCCCCCTTCTCATGAGCCGCAGTAGTTGCAAAGGGCGCTGAGGAGCAGGGCTGCTTATTCTCAAAACGGGGAATGTGGCTGGAATTAGGAGCCTGTGTTTATCAGCCAAGAGCTGACGTGCAGAGCTGCTGCTGAGTTAAGAGGAGGAATGTTTTTGTCTTTGCCTCACATCTGATAGCCCAGAGCAGAGGGCAGCTGCTCCCTGCAAGATGATGGTACATACCTGCCCTGGGTGGGTTCGTTTAAAGCTGAGAATGCCTCTGCCTTGTCTGTGAAACCTGTCTCTTTCTTTGTCCGTCCTTGTGTTGATGGGACAGGTACAACTCCTCCCCAAATCCATGGGCTCCCATCATAATTTAATAAGAGAAAATAGGGAGAAGTATTTTATAGATCTCCTTTTGTATGTCTGCAGCAGTAGAGAACTTTTATCAGTCACTGCTGTCTAGCCAGGAGAATAAAACTTAATTCTCACAAATCTGTCTGTCCAGAGAGGTGAGTTGGGAGTATCAGCAGCACAGTTTCTAATGATGAGTTGGGAAAGTGCAGGTTATGACTTGATCCCTACTAAAAGGTAATGTGCTGAAAACAAAATAGGGTATTCCTTCCATGGGGCTTTCAGTGCTGCCTGTAGGACCCCCTTTGTCTGCTGCTGGATCCAGGGGGCCATAGGGAGGACTCACCTCTCACGCACAGATGAACAGCTGCTCACTGCACACAGGGAACCTGAGCTGTGCTCCCTCCCCCTGTGCTTTTCTCACCCCTCCCCTGTCTGTGGAGCCTGAGAGCCTCCCTCTCCCTGTTGTGAATAATTAAATGTGGCCACACGGGTGAGCCCTGCCAGAAGGCAGCCTTTTGATTTCAATTGCCCTGACCTTTGGACTAAGGGTACCAGTTGTGGGCTTCTATCTGAGCAGCCTTCAGCCCTTCTAACCTCCTCCTCCTCCTCACATACACCTGTTTCCTGTCAACCTGGCTTCTGAGTGCTCCCAGCCTCCTCCTGAGCTTGCAGGCAGAGCACAGCACCAGCACTGATGATTACTGTATTGTTTAATTCCAGCTTGCTTATCTAAGCTGCATGAGAACATTGTAAATGCTTAATAACTATGTACAAGCTGCCTTTTTTTTTTTTTTTTTTTTTTTTTTTTTTCCCACAGCTTCTGTTTCCTTCAGTCAGTCTTAAATCTGCTTTGGCATTGCTCCATTTTACCTCTGTGGTATATGAGCAGCCAGGTAATTTTTTTTCTGCACCTCTGCAGTAACAATTTATGACTTTTGAAGGAACCAGGGAAGTGGTGATCCAAGTCCTGCTGCAACTGCAGTGCAGCTGGCTGGCATCACTGCTCCCACCTGCTTCTGTTCCCCTGGAGCCAGGGCCACAGCACAAGGTGGTACTGGTCTCTTGAGGTGGGTGCCTCCCACTGGGGCTGGGCTGACCTCACCGCTGGCACGCTACTAGAGGTGATGTCACTTGAATGTAATCTGGTAAAGAACTGTTGGTCAGTTACAATCAATAAAAACTGGCATTTCATTTTATTCCAGAGATCACAGAGGCTGTGCTGCTCCTGACCTCCTCTGGTTTCAGGCTGGGCAATTTCCCCTGCAGTTTCAGTGTTCCTGCTCAGTAAACACTTCTAGTAAAGACTCTCCATTTTCCTGCACAAGCAGGAAAAGTAGGGGAACAGCGTCACATACCCAACAATAATCAACTTTCTTGCCTTACCATGCTACAGAACAGGAAAAAACACAGTGACTTTGCATTGTGTAATTAAGGGGCAGTATAAAATAGTTATTTTATTGCTTCCTTCTAAGGAAAAGCAGAGCTAAAGTGTCACTCAGCTGTTAAAGTGCCAGCACATTTTAGGGTGCATTATGGGGAAGACAGAACTGTTTCTTTGAGATAAATGCTGTAGACCCACGTACTTGATGCCTTGTGGGAATCCTTCAGAACAGTGTAACAGGTGGACAGTAGGAGGAAGGGTTTGGGGACAGCTTGAGATTCCTCAAGTAGCCTGCAAGTTTCTACCACAGGACAGAACTCAGAGCAGAAGGATATTTTCTTTGCCAGGTTTTTAATTCAGCTCCCTGTTTGCCAACTGCTGGAGAAGGCTTCAGGGATTCCCACAGCGGTGTTAATAACAGGAGGTGCAAGCAGGAAGCAGTGCCAGCAGTGTATTTATGTAGTGGTTAAAGAGGGGCTGCACAGCAATTTTCATGGCACCTGAATGTCATGTTGGCCTTTCCCGATTGAAGGGAGCTGAAGCAATGAGTAATTCCTCAGCAGTAGTTGTTTTTTCCATGTCAGCTGGGAGAATGTTCTCCAGTGAGGATGAAGTTTGTTTTCCCTTTTGGAGTTAAGCACTTTGAATCCTCCTCTGATCTGTCAAGCATTTGCTCTCTCCTACCCAAGCCTGTCTATTTAACAGCAGCTTTCTCAGCTCTTAATGTTCCTCGTTTCTATTTTAAGAGTACATGGCAATCAGTGCCTTCCCAAGGGGAGCAACACTCAGCTAAGCCCACGTCTCTTCCCCATGCATGTTTTGAACCCAATGCCAAGGGTCAGGCACAGTGCCTCTGTCCTCACAGCCTTGTCCAAGGCGCCTGATTCCAGGCAAGTAGAGGTTTTCCATTCATTTCTCTTGGCTTTACACTTTGTATCAAGCCCTAACACAGCTGCTCCTTTCCCCAAGATGTTTGTGCCTGCCTGATGAACTCCGAGTTCCTCTCCAGCTGCTCTGGCTCATAGTGAATATCTGCAAGGAGGGAGGGAGAGCTCTGCTGTCTTCTCTACTAGAGGTGCTATGCCAAGACCAGCTTCAAGGGCTGGTAGAGGATGGAAAACTCAGGTTGCTTGGCTTGCAGCACACAGTGGGCTGTGTATATGTGGTCCTCTGAAGGGGATAGTTTGGGCCAGTTTGTTTCCAGTGAGGTCTGACCTTGGCAGCCTGGCCAGTAAATCCCTTGCTTTATCAACAAATAAGATTCCTCCTGTGCAAAGAAGAAAACAAAGACCAGCTCCATGTCAACAGGGAAATGGCCCCCACTGACACTGCCTTAGGCAGGGCCTTTCACCAGCCCAGCCAGGCTGTTGGCCCGAACAGTTTGTTAATCACTCTGAGCTTCCCCTCACACACCTCATTTTTCTCATCCAAGTAATCACAGGATTCAGACAGAATCAGCAGTTAAATTCTCCAGCCCTGCAAGGCTGTTTGCAGCAATGTTAAGCTCTTGTGTTGTTCAAAACTACTGCTTAAATGGTGGCAGGTGTTTGCTGTGACTTTCCTGCGAGTTAAAGAATAACAGCAGCTGCAATACTCTAGTCAATAAAAAGATAAGATAAAGCTACCATAGGCTTGATTTCCAAGCCAAAACCAGACTAGAAGACTAGATCACCTGTTACACAGTCTCTTGTCCTCCTTACCTGCCCCTGCAACACACCCAGGCTCAAGCTGTGGTTTAACCCCAGCTGACAACTAAGTACCAGGCAGCTGCTTACTCACACCTCTCCTGGTGGGATGGGGGGGAGAATCAGGGGGAAAAAAGGCAAAATCAAAAGTTGAGACAGGAACAGTTTAATAATTTGAATAAAGCAAAATGTATGAATAACATAAAAATACTTGTAATGAAAAGGGAAACTACAAAAAGAAAGAAAACACGAGAGAAAGGAGTGATGCACAATATAATTTCTCACCATTTGGCTGATTGATGCCCAGCCTGTTCAGTGACTGGCTGGGCATCACAGCCTAAGCAGTGACTGGCTCCTTCCAGATAACTCCACCAGTTTATATACTGGGGATGATGTCCTATGACATGGAATATCCCTTTGGCCAGTTTGGATCAGCTCTATTGGCCATGCTTCTTCTCAGCTTCTTGTGTAGCTCCTCACTGGCAGAGCATAGGGAACTGAAAAGTCCTTGCTTTAAAGTAAGCTCTGCTTAGAAAGAAGTAGAGCATTGGTATGTTATCAGTATTATTCTCATACTAAATCCAACACACAACACTGCACTGGCTGCTAGAAAGAAAATTCACTCTGTCCCAGTCTAAATCAGGACACTGTCCATCACCACATAGGGGTGGTGTTCTGCCATGTCCTGCTCTTTTCAAGGATGTAGGGTACCTGTGTGAGCTTTGTGGTTTCTCTGCCTCAGTATCTCTGTAACTTCAGCAACACTTTTCCCCTTAAAACCTTTTGTAGGCAAAAACCAAAGACTGCAACTCTCAGGAAAGTGGTAGCCCCAGGCTAGATGCAGTCTGGAAGCAGAGGCTGTGCTGAGCAGGCCTGGTTGCTTTCTCTCTCTGTGCATTCTACCAGCCAGGGAAGGATGGAGGCAGGAGCAGCAGGGGAAACCCTGAATTTCTTAGACCAGACAAGCCAAATGGGTGAAAACAAGAGGCCTACAGGGGTAGACTGAAAATGGGTCTGCCCACATCCCAGTGGGACTGGAGAGAGGAGAAACCCTGTGGCTGCCTTCCTGGTGGCAAAGGGTCCCTTGCCCAAGGGTGGGAAGTGAGACAGGGAAACAGCCTACAAGGAGAGGCCAGAGGGGGACATTGGAGCTGCTCGTGTCCTGACGGTGGAGGACAGCTGCAAGCTGCAGGCAACAGGGCAGCATCCAACTTCCCACCTCACATTGATTTCCTAGGTTCTCATGATCCAGAAGTTACAATAAAAATGCAGTAAAATGGATGGGTTCTCTCAATGGCCTGCATGAAATAAGGTCCCTACAGGTGTATATGTATATATATACATGTTTATCTACTCCCATACTCTGGTTCTCTGTTGTGAAGAGTGCCAGGAGTTTCTGTGACTCACAAATGTCCCCAGCCAGCTGCAGCTGTTGACAGAAAAGGACAGGGGCCAGCCTGCTCCCA